ATTACAATCTTCTTTATAACAAGTCTTCTGCACTGTAGTGATGATCTCCCTAGGCTTACGCCTGAGTGAAATTTTGATAATTTCTCTCAGGCGTGTGCCTCAAGAGACAGAACTGCTAGTGATAATTCATTCCAACATAAATTTATTATAATTTTCTTAAACCACAACTGCTTCACCAATGCGTATATCTGCCTAGACCTTAGCCCTCGATTTTTTTCAGTGAAAACTTTCGTGGATTCGAGCCCCGAGTGACAAAGTCTTCCAGTGACAATCATGTAATATACATCCTTCATTCGTTTCATTGCAATCTTCTTTAAAACAAGGCTTCTGCACTGTAGTGTCTCCCTAGGCTTACGCCTGAGTGAAATTTTGATAATTTCTCTGCGTCGATGTAACTATTTGTCTAGACTTAAACCTGAGGAAAGTTTTGATAACTTTTCGCAAGCTTGTGGCTCAAGAGACATCGTCTTAATTTAATAACGGTACATTATTGAATGACGATTTGAAGACCATAAACAACATTTTAACGGAGTTTTAAGAATATTACTTGATACCGTTTTATTTAAATAAATCTTCTTCATTGGTAGGAATGATTCCAAAATAAAAGGCTTTGTTTTACAATTCACTAATATGTCTTCCACTGGATGCTATAATGACCGCATATCCGGAAAGTAAATCCACGCCCGAATGGGATCCAAAAAACGTGCACCCATTTTCAAAAAAGACGCTTTACTAAACATATCCAAAATATGAAAAATATTATACCAAATTCATAACGCTGTCTAATTTTGTCGGTTTTTACTGACTCCTTACCGTGTACCCGCCCGATTACCCGCCGAAAATGTCCAACATTTTGGTGAAGCATGCGCATGAGTCGTCCACGATTTAACGCAATCCATTATCAACAAATTATAACAATAGGGATATTCATTTTAGTCAAATTTATTTATTGGAAACGCAAGCGGAATCGCAAGCACAACCTAGTACATAATATACAAGAAACGTGTGGACTTACCCATTATAATGACGGTACAGGTTGGTTCGGTGATGAGGCCGTCCCACAGCGACATAAACTGCGTCTTCATCATGGCGGTCGCCTCGTGATCATGTTGCGTGCGCGTACGCAGGAACGACTCGATCTCGTCTGCCGAATTTATAATAGAACTGAGTGTGGATATACGATAAAGGTAGGTAAGTCGAATTTGGATCTGTAATTGAATGTTTTCCAAGGACAGAGAACGTTTTTAACCTTCCTTCTAATTCTTTCTTCCAATTTCCAAAGTTAATAAAAAACTGTCGAAGGGACTCCATCTTATATGTATAAGAGATGAGACTTTATTCCCTCCCCAATTTCCCCAATTACAAAATCCTGAATTCTCAAATCCCTAACCCACAAAAAGACCGGTAACGGACTTAAATCATCTGGTGTTGCGGGTGTCCATGGGTGGCGCTGATTGCTAATAGTACATAGCTAATCATATACCGTGAAAAGTACCACAAAATGGGTCTTAGTTTCTTACCTATGAACACGATGCAAGGCTGCAACTTGACTGCAAGGCTGAATACAGCGGCTGCCAATTTTTGCGTCTCGCCATACCACTTGTCCGTCAATAGCGATACGTCCAGATTTATAAAGCTCATGTTCGCTTCCTTCGCTGTTGCTTTAGCTATCAGGGTTTTACCGCAACCTGCAATATTGTTTCTTAGTTAATTAATTTAATAATTAATAATAAAATAATTTAATTTATGATAAAGATATGTTAATTTTGTAAATAATTGTAGACAAGTTTGTGATGTACAATTTTTTTATTACTTTGGAGAACACCTAAAATGTTGCGAAACAGTTTCGTTGCAACTTCTTGGATGTGCAACCCAAATGTTTATGAAATGTTGCGCAATAATTGTGTGCCTGTTAGTGAAAAGTCGCGCAAAGTTTACGTCATAAACAAAGTCAGACTTTTTTAATAAAACGTTAAATCGTGCGCAGATGACGTTGCAAAACAGCTATTGTAGGTTATAGTTGTATGTTAAAGGTGCACAACAGTTAGTATGTTCTAGCTCTTGCATTTGCTCATGCACGAGCTGACGTTGCGAAATATTTTCGTTGCAGTTTATCTTAAATTGACATGGTTATAAAATGTTGCGTAATAACCAACGATCTTAGAAAATGACTAAGTGCTTGATAAATATTTAATGTTGCGTGACATATTCGCTAAAAACTGAACAGAAATCTTCCTAAATAAACGTGAAACCATGTACAGGCGACGTAATATGTTGCGAAACATATACAATGTTGAGCAACATATTCATTGATACTTCTACTAGGTTTATCTAAGCCACACCTGAAGCTAGCAAATGTTGCGAAATATTTACAGTGACATTCAAGATTTACAAGAATTTTCAAAATTTAGCTTATTAGTTGCTTTTTTAGATGCCTTTCAAAACGTTGCGCAATATTTTCGCGAAACAATAACCAACAAAACAAGTGTTGCGCAACATGTTCAATGTAACTTACAAACCCCTAATTAGTAAAGTATTGCGCAACATCTGAGTTGCGTTTGCTCTATTAAGTCAATTGTGTGCACCACCAATAGATAGACAAATATTGAAGATATCTTTAGTTACATCTAATAACTGAAGTTATTGGATAATTTACGACCATAGGGTATGGTTAAAAAGTAAACGTAAAACCGTTGCTCAACACTTGAGGGGTGGTTATCCGAGTGATCCCCCCCCCTCCTACCCCCTGCACAACCTACCACGCTTCATGTGCGCAAGTGCGCCGCGTCCAGGAAGGTGGTGGTCCTCTACCTTGGCGCAGCGCACCTGCGCACTTGTTACGTAACGGGGAGAACAAAGAAAGTATATCATAGTGGTAGGTTGCCCTCCAATCTCCCTGCCACCTCCTACAATATCCCACTGCGCAGGTGCGCCGCGCCCACGTAGGGCGTGGTCCTCTGCTTTGGCGCAGTGAACCTGCGCCCCGTTACGTAACACGGAGAACAAAGAAAATACATAACGAAGCTTGTTTCCAAAGGGAAAAGCCCATGACTGTAGTGTGAAAATGTTACACTATATTTCTTTCTATCTACAGATACCTATCTACTGTAGATAGCAGTGTTACATAATCATAAGGCGTAATGGGAAAACAAGTTTAATCTAGCGCTATCGTTCAATATTTGAGGGGTGGGTTTCTCCCCCCACCCTCCCACGCTACCCCACACGCCATAAGTGCGCAGGTGCGCCGCGCCCTGGCAGGGTGTGGTTCTTACCAGGGCGCGGCGCACCTGCGCACTACTAGGTATCACGAAGAACAAAGAAAAGATATCACGGCGCCTGTTCCCCAAAGGGGAAAACCCTGACTCAAGTGAGGTTATCTTGCATATATTTCTTACTAATACATAACTATTCCCTAATCCCCTATCGGCTACCCTAGAATAATTATTGCTACGCTTTCGCTCAATACTTCTCAGATGAGTCCCCCCCCCCTACTACCCCACACTGTACAAGTGCGCAGGTGCGCCGCGCCAAGATAGAGGACCACACCCTACCAGGGAACAGCGCACCTGCGCACTTCTTACATAGCGTGGAAAACAAAAAACCCACCTAACAACTGATGACTGATGAAAATCCGACAAATGATAGACAACGGGCTATTTCCGGAATCGACAACAAATAACTCCGGGATCGAACCCGAAAACGCACGATGATAGTTGCAATTGCACAACTCAACCACTCGACGAAAGGCAGAGCAAATAGCATGCCTAAAAAAGAAGTAAGAAAGAAGTTTGGGATTCGAACCCTATAACGCACCATGACTGTTGCACTTGGACAACTCAACCACACGCAGAAGGCAGAACAAAAGCGTGTCAAAAAAACCAAAGAACTTGGGGATCGAACCCAAAAATACATGATCGCTGAAAAAAAGAAGGTCAGATGCTTACCTGGGGGACCATGCAGAAGCACGCCCTTGGGTGGCTGCGTCAGCCTGCTGTCAGCGAACAGCTCTCGTTTCTGGATCGGCAGGATGACAGTTTCTCGCAACTCCTGGATCAGGTGGTCGAGCCCAGCTATATCCTTCCAGTTGACCTGAACAAAGAAATGCACACATTAAAAGGCGTAGAACTGACTGATAAAGAGAGGAGGGGTGAAGGAAGTGAGTGATTACCTGATAAAATCAGTCTTCCTACACCAAAATCTTCCAGTACGCTCCAAAGAACCATCGCAGAAACGATAATAAAGGGTAATCTCCCCAAGAAAACCAAGAACTCAAATCGGCTTAATATGAAATCGCGTCCCGATACCGACACGTCCGGCCGGCTCGGCTGTCGGGGTGCAATTGCTCAACGTCGAGCTGGGGGGTGGTTATATAAGTCTAGACCCGCGCAGGTAGTGTCCTAGATAGACTGGATCGATATTAAATGACAAAGGTTGTGGCGCAAGCGTGCAACGCTAAGGGATACATTGCGACTGCGTGGCGACCCCGTCCTGCACCTGCATCGATCATTTTCCGGAACTTTCCGCGGTTACATAACAATTTTGCTAGGAAATGACGCAATATTTTATGGGTGGGGTTTTGGAGTTATGTACCATTCATAACGTCCCAAACCAGCTCGTAATGTTATTACTGACCACTAGGGTTGATACTAAATCAGGTAAGGTTCATCAAGGGTTCGTGGCCTAACACAAAATTGAAGTTACAATATCACTAACAAAAATTTGTAGCAATTTCTGCATACCCTTTCGGGATAAAAGACCCATCTTCTTCCTCTATCATGTAATAATATTCACGTGACTTTAAATCATACATCAAGTCCTAATTAAATGTGCCTAATACGAATACTAAAGATGTTCACAGCAACGAAACACGAAAGGGGCTTAATTAAATTGCAAGCCAACTCTTGCTCGCGATCGACTAAACCAGGGCTGTCCAAACAAAGGCCTGGGGGTCGCATGCGGCCCGCATCTTGTTTTCATGTGACCCGCGACACACATTTTAATCTCAACATCTTCATCTTATATGTAACAACAATAATACTATTCAGTGTATGATTTGTCTACAAGTATTGTCTGTGAGTAAAGAATATAATGTTAAACTTCATTATACAACTGAAAATATTTTTCTGGCCCCCCAGTTTTTGTAAGAAATATAATTAGCCCGCGAGGGTATATAGTTTGGACAGCCCTGGTCTAAACAATCTGAATAAATACAGCTATATACCCCAAAAGCGGGGGTGCCTTGAGTACCTACACCCACATTTCGTAATACCTTTATTGATATTAGTAATATTATTAGGACTACCAAATTTTAGCCTACGCTTCTTGTTGTGTACCGAAAGATCTTATTACTTCAAAATACTACCGAGAATTCCGAAATCAAAATGCCAAATATGAATTAAATATTGCTGCTAGTAACTCGAAGTAATAAATGAAGACTATCAAGCAATTTGCAGGGGTAGACAAAGGTGCACATAGGTACCAGGCTGAGGTCTCACGAAGCGATTTTCCCTCGCGCCCGCCGCGGTCGCGAGCCCGCAGCTTTTGTACAATAAAGATATGTATGTAAAAAATTAAAGCACATTTCACGACGCATTTTGCGCCCATGTGCGATTGTTTGCTGGTCCCGCTGCACCGGTGGCCGCGGTTCCGCTGTCGCGGCGAGTTGCAGCCGCGGCGAGTTGCACCCGCGCGCTGTGCGATCGGTTGGCGGGCGATCACAATGGCCGGACTGGAACTCAATTGTTTAACTGTCCGTCATGCGATAATCAACCGACAAGCTTGCGGGCGATAATCGCAACCGCGACAGTTCCAGAACCGCAGAAAACTGCAGTCTCGTGAGTTTTGAAAATAAATCTCCATTCCGCCACCACGGCGAGCGCGGGTGAAAATCGCGATTCCGAAAATCGTGATTTCGTAGCGAGCACCTGAGGGACTCTTCATCGCTTATGTTACCTATATAATAGGAGAGAGCCTATTACCCCTCACTAGGAAACTCCTAACTTCGTGAGAGTTTTCGTTAATGTTAATAAAATTTTGCCCGACCCACTGAATCTCTAACTGAGAACCGAACCATCTGACGTCTTCAATTTATATTATATATTTTTGTATTTGGCATTTTTGTTATTATGAATAAAGTTTTAAAGGTTTTTTTTTACATTTATTCAACAACGGAATCTTCCTTTTCTTGTTCACAATATAAAAAATCCTCATGAAGACAAGGAGGACTGTTACACCACGATGAAAGGGTGCAGGAATCAAATGCTTGCGAGTCAAATCCCTAATATCCCACCACGCGAAATCAAACATGAACAAAAGCAAGTCCCTAACAATTACTAACAAATTGCAACTCGTTTTAACGAACTGTTTGCGGTCGGCTAATGCCTAACCGACTTGTAATGTGTCCAATTATGTTCCTCCTGGCTGTTACGACATTGCTCACGTGTGATAACCACTAACCCACATACGACCTCGTAAACAATCGGAAATATAAATGACACAAAGGTACCTCGAAATAGCTATGCTCTAACTTCTTTACCAGGTCTAGGTCGGCGAAGTTGATCAGAAGAAGACAGTATCTTCCTTCAACTATTATAAAAATCCCAGACCCTCGTTTAAAAAAATATGAAGAGTCCATTGCTAGACTATGATCATCTTTTACATAAGAGGGTTTTCTATAATCCCCGCAGTTGGTACATGGGTTGTAGTTTAAAAAGTTCAAATTTATCAGAGAATGCTCAACCTCGGTCAAACATGTAGTCGCGAAGCTCTTACGATTCCCGTGGGAAGAGTAGGGACAATGAAAAATGTATTCTATTTCCCCGTCATCATACGGTACAAAGAAAAATAACATGCACAGGCAGAGGTCCACATTACAGCACTTAATGCCACTGTACAATGTAACACCCAGTTTTCACGATTTATGTTATGAGTCCCATGTAATAGGGGGTTAGCCTATTGCCATATACCGGGGAAAATTCCAGACTCAGTGCTACTACTAAGAATTTTCATAAAAACTCAGTAATACTTTGCTTCGACCTGGGAATGGAACCTGGGAGCCGTTGCCCTGTAGTCGAGAAAATATTGAAGGAATTTTTATCTTCAACATTATTCAACATTAATAACTACCCGAAATAAGGTGCTGATGAAATCGTAACTCAGTTTCAGTCTAAGTATGTGTTTATATTTATTTACGTTATCTTGTATAATCTGGCAGGATCTCAACATGAATCATGAATTAACCCTGAATATATTCTGTGTGTAATGACTTGTGATTATTAAGTCATTTATTACGACCAATGCAGTAAGATTGTGTTTGAGAAAGTAAACATAATATAACTTTTCAGCAGTTACGTTATTCTTTTCTTGTGTTAATAAATTCTCAGTGTAGCTCCCAGGCAATCCAATAAAATGTCTCTCACGTGTCTAAATTACTCACACGACGAAACACAACGCTTTGGTTGTTTCACGTTGATTTTCTGTGAGGCCGTGGTATAACTCCGGTCGAGCCGGCCCATTCATACCGAAGCATGGCTCTTTAAAATGCTCAGAACTAACTTACGTAGCCATTAAATGACTCTGAGTATGACTCGATAAGACAGCAAAGAGTCAACGTTAGTATAGAAATCGATACACGTTGATATTGTACACAATAGGGCAAGATATTGATTTTATGTCTATAGGTAACCCACAAGTCGTCAACTTGCGTGGTTAATCACCACATACGATGACAGTTAAACCGTGATTGTCTGCCTTTTTACTGCTATTGATCATAGATTTTTACAACATTCTAGAGATATAATCACACGTAATTAATGACCTAAGCGACGGCCAAGACGACGAACCGCTGTAAAATTACATTTGAGAGCACGCAAAGCCGTCTGTATGTCTGTCACGATGGTCATGTAACTGTGTAATATAAGTACGTTAAACCAACCGACTTACCTATTTATAAGCTCTAATAAAAGTCAATATTTTAAAACAGAATTTGGCCCAATTATGTTCAGAACTTTTGAGGTTTCTTTCTAGCTATAACGACTGTCATAGAAGTTCGTGTGACATTGGGGGATGGGTAAAATTTCACCGAATTCTGGGCTATTTTCGTTAATTTTAATTAGAAAATTCTAATAGCACTTATGCTCCGCGAAGTGGGTGTCGAACCCGCCACAAGGTGCTTAGTAGTCCGCCACCAAGGGCAACACACTAATCATGCAGTCTTTCTACATATGTAGGTATATTAAAAAAAGGATTAAAACTACTCACACTGATCTCATCAGGCACCACCAGCTGTGAAGCGATGATCATCTCATGGTCGGTGAGCTTGTCCAACGCGATAGAGTGCTTGTTGCCGAGCCCCGCTCTGCAAGACATCCTTAACACATGCATGGTCTATACAGTGGCCGTTTATCATAACCTTATTGTATGTGGACGCTACACTCATGCAACTAGCTAACTCTATTTATTTACATTTTAACTGCAGATGCATGTGGGTAAAGAGGAGATAGGGGCTGGTTGTACCACAAAGATGTTGTTGCTTGTTGCATTTCTTTTTTTTTTTAAATAAAACGTTGCCCCACATTAGGATTTTCTCCTGTGTCGTGGGTGCGTTTACAAACACACAAATTCACACACACCCAGACCCGAAACAACAATTTGTGGATCACACAAAGTGTTGTTCCGTGCGGGAATCGAACCCGCGACACATTGCACAGCAGCCGGTTGCCCATTGTTTTTGCATTGACAGATTGTTTGCAGGGACCACTGCTATCTAATGTGAACGTCGCTATAGAGTTTGCTATAATCTTCACGCATCATAAGGATGGCACCTACATCACTGAAAATTTTGAGTATGCTACCGAGGCTGTCCCTCCGAGGCTGGTTGCAATTTTAGGGTAAAACAAACCACATTTACTTTTTTATTACTTTTACGTTTATAACAATTAGCAAGATATCCATTTATAACATTCTTTGAAGCTACTATAAAAGATAATAGGAAAAAAACTTGTTGGTAGCGGTGAAGGTTACGCACGTGCTTTTGTCGTTCCTACGTTTTTTCTGTTAGTTTTAGTGTTTTTATCCATAGTGAACTGAATTGAAAACCTTTTAGTTCTGTGTTGTTGTGTTTTTAACTGTGTGTGTAATCTTTAATAAGGTATTGGTTGTCGTAAGTGAAGGTAAC